CTTGGCACCAATATTAAGAATTACTAACATTCATATCACCTTCCTAACTTCTAAACACTGCAACACCTGACATAAATGGATATTTGAAATTGCAATACTTTGAATACTGATAGTTTCATTTTGCACCACAGTGAAACAATAAAATGTTAAAATTACTAGTCTTTTTGAAGCAGTGAAATGTTAAATTACTACCCTTTAACTTGAAAGCCTTGAATCAATTGCAGGACAATATATAGAAATCTTGTAGTAGGTAGGAGTCCATTCTCCTGGAAGGTTTAGCTTAAATGCACAGAACACAATGCATATCGGTGGGCTGTGCTAGTAACTCAAACTTTAAAGGTTTTAACCACCCACTAGGTACCTAGCAATCAAGCCATTAAGTGAGTAAAAAAATCCATTGACTTAACAATAGGATGGTAACACTCTTATCTCATCTATATTATAGGCCATTCATTCTGCTTTGTACCAGGCCTATAATGTATTCCAAGCATACAAGAGTGATTAATAAGGTCTCTCTGCCTTACTGGGACTCATAGTTTTGTGTTATCTTGATATCAACAAACAAGGCTATCCTGTAATGAACATAATTTAGCCAACATTGCTAAAGAACACAATGCAACTCTGTAAATGCAGAAACAGTTGCTTGGAATTTATAGGGAATATGGCTTTATGGCCATGGAAGAATAAAGATTGCTGCATTATGGTTTTCATTTGTGAACATACTGCCAATCAGGCATTTTAATACAAAAGAAATCAGGCACACTGCAAGGATAACACAAAGAAAGATGGAAAATATAACACTGTGGTAGTAAATTATCTGTTCACTAGGTCTAAATTGCCTTTAATTTGAATTTATCTTTGCCAAATATGAAGATTGCTGTTTCCATATAGACTTTCTTTTGACATCTGTAGAATGTTTTCAAGTTGATTCATTATCATGGTAATAGACTTCAAATTCTATTTCCAGGCAATTTTTTTCTCCTATTCTAGGATAGAAATTAACCGCCTGTATAATCACTTCTCAATTAAGAAAGTATTTTTGCGTCATTCGCATAGACGTGTCCTAGATTATGGTCAGCAAATTTAAATAAACAAATGCATCTAATAGGTGTAGTACAGGTATAATGCCGGCCGCTCACTCTGGCTGCCGGCCACACACGATAGCTTATGTCAGCCCACTGCAGCTTCACTGCAGCCTACGCCATCGCCAGCAATTCACGGCAGCCCAGCTCCAGGTCGAGCTGTTGTTCACCATCTTAGCTGTAGAGGGCAGTGTCACTGGCCCTCATGTGGGATCCGAACCAGGGCCCTGCTGCTCAGAGCAGGTGTCCCAAGCCAGCTCTTAACCAATGCGCCACTCGGCCGGCCCCTAGTTTTTTATTTTCAACTTGCTAATACACTGAATGCATGGTAGACTATTTTCAGTGCTGAAACACTGAATGCATGTTGTTATTTGAATTTTTATAATACCATATAATATGGTAATTAAGGAAATTTTATTATAGTGAAGTGAGTGAGTGAGAACAACTGAAATATGAGCCACCTTTGGGAATTTCTAGAATGCACATTATAGCAATCAGCAAGAAAAATGAAAAAAAAATCTCATTTTAATGATTCTTTCTCTTTTTAGATACCTCTTCACTAAGAATATAGCAGTGTTAGTTTTCAATCTATTTCCAAAACAAAAACAAACTATTCTAAACCAGGGACTGCCCTGTGCAGTGTTACATAGAGAATTACCAACAGTACATTTATTTCTCCAGTGTTCTCTGCCCTCTTCATTACATATTTTAATCGCATTAACATTACTTCTCTTGGGAATTTTCGACTAACTGATCAATCTGACCATTAGGATATTTTCTCTCATATATTATTGAGCTCTTGCTCTCATTTGCTATTTTCCCCCCCATTAATGCTAATTAGATCCCCTGGGATCAGGGAGATAATACTGTTCAATCTTGTCCTTCCCTGTCAAATGCTGTATACAATTATGCACACCTTTATTTATTATGCATTGAACGCTTTTAAATTGTCCTTAATAATTCTGTCTGAGATTGTAATTATGTTGACTTGCCCTTCCTTGAAAATTCTTAAACTTTCTGATCTTTTCAAAGCTAATGTATTTAAAATTTGTATAATACGTTAGGAAAAAAATGTCAGCATCCACAACAATGACTTCTGATTGTAGCTAGAAAAGAAGGTATTATAGATAGATAGATAGATGATAGATGATAGAAATGGAGGGAAGGGGAGGGGAGGGGAAGGGAGGGGAGGGGAGGGGAGGAAAGAGAAAGAGAGAAAGAGAAAGAGGGAAAGGAAAGAAAAAGGGGTGATTTACCAAAGGAACATTACATGCAGAATTTAACACAAAATATCATTAACATAAAATAACCATTTTAACTATGAAATTAACCCAATTTCTAATTTAAAGTAAAAACATTAGAACTTTAAAATTAGTCCAGATCTTACATTTAATGAGCTTAAAAATTTGATAACTTTGTCTTTTTTGTTTTGTATCCCTCTTTTCTTCTACTCGTATTCTCTCACAATGTCTTTCGTTCAAACAATCTTAGACATTCAATAAATACTGATTAATCAATAAGTATACTATTGACAGATAAGCAGGGGAAGAAGTACAAATATGATTAAAATGTCTTATTTCCATAAGATTTAAAGTGTGACATGGGTTGCCATATAATTTAATAGCTATGGCAATCCATGTTTGAATTATTTTAATAACTACTAAATTACAAGTCAGTGGAATGAAAAAAACTAAGTGAGGGAGATTGTTCTAGGTTAAAAGAGGAAAAAAATATCTAAAAATTAAATATAATGTGAGAACCTAGTTTGCAACCAACTATAAAAAAGACATTTTTGAGACATTTGGCAATTTGTCAAATTCAGGCAATTTGATTACAGACTGGGTGTTACATGATACCAAGAAATTATTGTCAATTTGTGAGGTATGATAATGGCACTGTGGTTATGTAATAAAATTTCTATAATTCTTATTATTGACACATACTGAATTAGGAGTGAAATGGTATGCTTTTTGAGATTAGCTGTAAGACATTTACCCAAAGAAAAAAAAGGAGTGGAGATTATATGAAGTAAATACGGTAAAATGCTGATAATTGTTGGGTGTACTAGATGACACATATATGGAGATTCATTATTCTATTTGCTACCTTTTAATATATTAAAAAATTTCATAATAACATGTTTTAAATAATACAAAAGTAATACATATTCAGTATGTAAAAGTACAAATAACGTAAGGTATATATAAGTTAAAATGCAAAGGTCTTCCCTCGCCATCACCCAAATCTTACAGGAGGAAACCACTATTAACACTTTGTTGTGTACGCCAATGTGGACATTTGTTATCAAAATGCTTTTTAACTATTTTTTATTAAAACTATATCTTGGACATTTTCCATGTCAGTAAATTTAGATCTATATTATTCTTCCTAAATGATGCAGAGTATTCCATTGTTTAGATACTTAACATGGATAATTTTATTTTTACAATTCCATATGAAAGAATATTGAGTCTATTCCCAGCTTTTAACTATTACAAGCAATATTACTGGGAAGCTTTGTGTGCATGTCTCTTTGCACATTTGTATGGCTGTCTGTAGGGAGAAGTTCTAGAAGCAGAACTGAGAGGCAGTGTGAATTACTGGGCAGGGGTGTGGACACTCCAGTCAGCCCCCCCCGGATCTGGACCTCCATGCTGTCACCCATGATCTGAGTCATCTTGGGCACATTGTTCAACTCTCTGAATGTCCATTTTTCTTCAGAAAATAGGATTAATAATAATCATATTCACTTAATAACACTATTGTGAGAATAAATAGTACATATAAAGTGATTAGAATAACTGTGAAATAATAATTTATATGTTGGTTTCTGTCTCCATTTCCTGCTAATATTTGGCCTTTGACCTCATTTCCTGACGCAGAGTTCCGAAAATCTTTGTAATTTCCTGAGTGATAGGCAACTCTGACAGGGAACTCCTAAATCTTTTGGAATTTCCTGGGTAATAGAAACATCTTTTGTTCTAATGAGGTGACTCTTGCTGGATTCCTGGATGGAGGATGGCCCTAGAAATACTAAGCCATTATTAGGAGAGGAGGTAAAAACTGAGTTAATAATCAACCATGGTTGTGATGAAGCCTCCATAAACATCCTCAAAGTACAGGGTTTGGAGAGCTTCCGGACTGGTGAACACATCACTCGCAGGGAGGGTGGCACGCCCACATTTCATGAGGACAGAAGCTTCTGTACTTGAGACCTTCCCAGACCTCAACCTATGTGCCTTTTCATCTGGCTGCTCATCTGTATCCTTTATTATGCCCTTTATAATAAACCGGTAAATGTAAATAAATATTCCCCTGAGTTTTGTGAGCCTTCTAGAAAAATTACTGAACCCAAGGAGTGGGTCCTGGGAATCTCTGATTTATAGGTAGTTAGACGTACAGTTGACAACCTGGGACTTGTTATTGGTGTCTGAAGTTGGGGCCATCTTGTGGGATTGAGCCCTTGTGGGATCTGATGCTAACTCCAGTTAGGATAGTCTTAGAACCGAATTGAATTGTAAGACACACAGCTGGTGTTAGAGAATTGGTTGGCGTGGGGGAAAAAACTACACACCTGTTTAAAGAAGTATTCTGTGTAAGTATAGTAAGTAAAGTGAGTGTAACAGTGTTCCTTTAGTTGGTTGTAGAGTTTTTTCCTTCCTATGAAACAGGACACAAACAGAAAGTGCTCAATTAATGCCAATTATCATTATTGTTAATGTAGATTGGGTTGACTTACATTCCCACTATAGTAAGAAAATTGCCTTTTTAATCTGATGGAAGAAAACTCTCCTTGCTTCAATTTCCATTTTCTTAATATTTACTGAGGTTGAACACTTGTTTATAGATTTCCAGAACCACTTTTATATTATTTCTGTGAAGTATTAATTAGTTTCCTTTGCCCATTTTCCTGCTAAGGTAAAACTGTGATGGCACATTCCAGGGCGATGAAGAGCTACTTACAAGTTCTGATCAGATCTAATATCCAGTAAGAGAATCTGCATACTTTAACTTCAACCTGACCTAAAGAAATTCCAGAGGACATCTACCTCCAGGTATGTATTGGATCAATACTCTCATCATTAAGCTGGACAAAATATTATAAAAGAAAGAAACAATTTGAAGGCACTAGAGAGCAATGTAGGCAGCCAACACTTAAAGGGCCAAGATAACAGAGATAAGAGAGCTCAACATTCTCCTCCACTTTGTTCCTTAAAAAACGTCCTAATACTTAGCATGTGGCTTAGTGGCCAAGCAGAGCATTCAACTTTCAAGTCCAAAGCATTAAGCATGTTCACAGAAATAAAAAGATAAAAATTGATGCTCAAGAACTATCAAGGTCAACACCTTGGCTTTGCAATAGACCCCAGAAATGCTATGTCCCAGCATTGAGAACAAACCAAAATATGCCAGACATGTACTGATATTCCAACACAAATCATCTTCAGCACTGATTAAGTCAAAAATATTTACCCTTACACAAACTGCCTACCAACAGAAAAGTAAATCCTCTCTGAGAGGAGTACACAATTATCCAAATATCCATAAATTTTTATTTCTAATATCCAGCATTCAATAAGAAATTACTAGTCATTCCAGGAGACAGGACCAAATTACCAACAATTAAGAGCCCAAAGAACAACAGCAACAGCAACAACAAAATGGACAACAGAAATAGATCCACAGATAATCAAATAATGAAGTTATCATTGATGGCAGAGAAACAAGAAACATTTCCTTCAAATGGGCAACAATAATATTGACAGCTGACTTCTTATCATAAATATTGAAAGAAAATAATTGTCAAGTGATATTTCTATACCCCAAAAATAATCATAAAAAGCAAAAGAGAAGTTTTGAAAGATGAAAAAGTTATAGATATTGGTTGTATGACAATATGGATATACTTAACACTACTGAGCTATACACTTAAAAATGGTTAAGATGGTAAATTTTTAAATTGTGCTATTTACTGCAATTTTTTTAAGTGAAGAAGAGAGTGAAAAATGAAGTGAAGAAGGTAATGTTTATAGTATGTAACTTGCACCTCAGTAAAGCTGTTTTTTAAGAACAATTGAAGAAGAAGCAGACATTTTAAAACAAGAGAATTCATCATTAGCAGATGAGTGTTAAAAGGAATATTAAAGGTAGTTTTTCAGACAGAAAAATAATCCCAGATAGAAACACAGAAATGCAAAACAGAGTGAAAGGCAATAGAAAGGAATGATAATAATTGTAATGGTAGAAAATAATAATACTCTTGGGGGATATATGTATATATGAAAATATAAGGAAAAAATGAGGAGTGTACTATATGGAGTCAAAGTGTTCTAAGGTCCTGACATTGTTAGGAAATGGTAAAAGTACCAACTTTTACATAACACTCTAGTAAGTCAAGAATGCATGTTCTAATGTCAGTGATAACCACTAGAAAATATTATAAAATAACAATTCATGCAGGAGAAAGTAGGCTTATAAAAATATTACATCAATTCAAAAGAGATAAGAATCGAAAGGAAAGAAAAAACAGAGGGACAGGTAGGAAATAAATAATAAGATGGTAAATTTAAAACTAAAAATATCAACAATTCAAATAAAGTTTTCTAATTAAAGCAACCATCAGACTGGATTAAAAAATAAAACTCAACTATATATTCCTTATAAGAGACACACCTTAAACATAAGGACACAGTGGTGTTAAAAATAAAATATTGGAAAAACGTATACAACACACAAAAAAAGTTGCTATAGCTATATTAAATATCAGGAAGAAAAGGAAAATTACTAGAGATAACAAATATTTTATAAAGATAAAAGAATCAACCCACTAAATTGACTTAATGAGTATAAATGTATGTGCTTCTAATAACATAACCTCAAAAGAAGCAAAAATAGACAGAATCAAAGGAAAAATGGGTGCATCACAATTAGATTTGAAGATTTGAATGTATCTCTTTCAATAAAGGAAAGGACAAGCAAAAATAAATCATAGGATTTGGAAAATTTTATCAACATGATTAATGAGCCTCATTTAATTGCTATCTACAGTATAATAGCACACATTTTTTCAAGTGCTCATAAACCATTTGCCAAAATTAAACAAATGTTGGACCATAAATCAAGTCTCAACAAATTTCAAAGCATTTAAATTATTAATCTTATAAAATATGGCTGCACATCAATAATAAAAAATAACTAGAAAAGGCCCAAATATTTGGGAAAAAGCAGCACAGTTCTAAATAACCTGCTGGTTAAAGAATCACTCACAGTAATAATTTTGAACTGAATTATAACAGAAAATATGACATATCAAAATGTGTGAGGCGCAAAATGTGTGAGGAGCATTTAATAGAGCCTTGAATGCTGATATCAGGGAAACAGAGGGCTACAATTAAATGATCTAAGTATCCATCAAAATAAAAGGACATACACTTTTAACATGTGCACTTTGCAGTATGTATGTTCTACTTGAAAAAGTTTAACAAAAAGAAACCTCTCAATGTCCAGTCTCTGATACTACAAGATCCAAGAATATCAGTCTGTGAATGTGCTTGATAAATCCGTGAGCTCTAGATCTCTTTAGGATGTATTTGAAAGCCTTTGTATACCCTAATCTCCTAACGTTTTGGTGTGTTTGGGCTTTTTTGGTTTTTGGTTTTTTTTTGCCATTTTACATATGACCTAAGGTCAGGTTATCCTCTTTAGAACTCTTCTGAATCAGAAATAAATACCCTGTAAACACTCCATGGTTCAGACTCATCCTCCCAGAAACAGGCAGATACAAGCCTCTGGGCTTACAGAAAAAACCAGTTACTCTGCAGCATTTCATCTCACCACACCCATTCAGCAAGAAATATCTGTTCAGCATATGTGTTATCACACTAGCCTCAAAACAAGATCAGCCTAGTAGGTTACATAGGCAGTACCTTTAAAAAGTGTCTGACCTCTTTTCATAACATGATCAAATACAGAATTAAAACTAATTAGTTGCACGTTTAAAATTATTTAGCAGCAGACATTTCATTACTACAATTTACTGCGATTGACACTACTACTACTATAGCTTATTCATGAAACTAAATATTGTTTTGAGAAAACAATGAATTCGGTATTTTAGTTCCAGAACTTAATAATTAATGTACTAAAAGAGAATTTTCACTTGAAAAAGTATTTTGGGTGTGAGTGTGTGTATATTGTAAAGGTATTCAAATTTATACCCCCATGGGTAAAATTCAGTGACCTGTGAGTGCTAATTAGAAGCACGTATTAAAAACATCAGATTAACATACTGTCAATATGATATAATTCCCAGCCACACTAAATACTCAAGAGCTTTAAAATGTTCTTGCTTTCCTTTAGGCATTAGTATGACACTGGTCCATTTATATAGTTTTGTTAAAAAAAAAAGTGTAGGAAATTGCTTCTTCATTGAAATCACTATCTTCATTTTGAATAGTCTCCTACTTATAAAAATACGATTAGAAATAATACTCGTGATAAAAATTGAGGTCAGAGCTCCCCATCGAGTGTACACAATGTATTTCCTTAAGCCCAGTGGGACAAAGAAACCTCACCCAGCCCTGCACTTAGGTTCCTGTGGGAACAGGTCACCTCTGCGCCATTAACATGACGCCTTCTCTCGTCAGGGCAGGAACATCAGGAGTGGGGGAACTCTCTGGTCTAGCTGTTTCTTCTTGGGAGGTTTATAAGGCCCAAGTCAACGCCTGCCCACTGTCCCGTGAGTGACTGTGGGAGGAAGATGCACACACACACACACACACACACACACACACACACGCATGCACACACACACACACACACACAGAACTCTCTTTGTAGATTCAGACAGCCTAGCAAGCAGGAAGGGTGAATGGATAGGAGGAGTGTGGGGCAGATATTGTATCCCAGACATGACAGTTGCCAAAGGGAAGACCTGCGCCCTTTTTGCAATACTTGTGCATGGAGCACCACCCTTTGCTTAAAGATAATAAGCATCTTGCAAATCTCTCTCCACCTCCTCCCTGCTCACCTCCTTTGCGCATTTAAACGTACTAGTTTCCTACAGGTGTTCTGCTCACTCCTCCTGCTTCCACTAATTCTGATCTGGACTGTTCCTTGTCTGAATTCTGAGCCCCTGCTTGAATGCGCCCTTGGAAATTACCAATACCTTTTTTTTAGTCACAGCTAAAGCTGTCTTTTAAAGCAATTATCTCTCAAAAAATTGCTACCTATTTCAGTGTTCCTGCATCAAAATATGTTGAAGTATGGAATCAAACATCTGGCCATTTGCAAGTAGAGCCCTAATTATAGATAGAGAAAAGAACCCTAAACGTCATTCAAAGAATTGAGACACTATTGAAAAACAGTTCTAAATGACTGTTTAGAATGACATTGTAACAGTGCTTTTCACTTATTTGTCAATGTTTCATTAAAGTGTCCCTAATACCATGGTAACTCATTCCTAGTTAAAAGATATGTTTCAGAAGAAAAAAAAATGCTTTTTTTAGAAAGCTAGACAGGAGGCAAGTCAACTAATAACATCTTATGTTGTATAGCATCCTAGCAACACGCCATTTTCATATGTCTTCTGTAATTTAATCTTTCAAATAATCACATGAGATGGGCAAGGCAAGACTCATTACTTGCATTCTACCACCAGAACCATCAGAATATTGTGGCCAATGCAGCATTCTAGTGCTTCCACTTTAACTCACACTCTGCCTTTTGAAGCATTCACAGCAACTCAAATATTCATAGCAACAATCCATCACTATAGTATAGATAATATCTAAGCAATACTAAACAAACATGCCATTTTCATTTTCTGTAACATCTTTAAACCAGTCGGGAGGGTGCTACATATGAAGTCAGTCCAAGGACTACAGGACCTAGAAGATGTCATTTGTTTGTCCTTCCAGTGCAAAAGACCCAAAGATGACCAGAAGCACATACCCCAGAGTCTGCTGTTTATTTGGAAAGGTATGGGTCCATAGCTTTCTGCTAAGCAGAGGGCTTAAGGAAAAAGTCGTCATGGGTTACCTGGGTATGCTGGCTTGTGACTCCACCCCAGAGATTCGAGAGGGAGGGGTGCTAGAACCTCAGCATATGTGGGTCTAGAGGTCTGCTAATTAAGTTCACAAACTCATCCTAAAAAAAGTACTACATACCTCATTGCTGAATATCAACGTAATTACCTTTCAAGTACTTCCCTTGGGAAGTTATGCACAGGAAGCCTAGTCCACCGTTCAAAGCAATTTTGGAACTCTTTTTCTGAAATGGCCAATAGAGCTGTTGTCGTATTACACTTGATGTCCTGAATGTCATCAAAACGTCCTCCTCTCAATATTTCCTTTATCTTTGGGTAAAGAAAGAAGTCATTGGGGGCAAGATCACGTGAGCAGGGAGGGTGTTCCAATAGAGTTATTTGTTTACTGGCTAAAAACTCCCTCACAGACAGTGCTGTGTGAGCTGGTACATTGTCGTGATGCAAGAGCCATGAATTGTTGGCGAAAAGTTCAGGTCGTCTAACTTTTTCATGCAGCCTTTTCAGCACTTCCAAATAGTCAACTTGGTTAACTGTTTGTCCAGTTGGTACAAATTCATAATGAATAATCCCTCTGATATCAAAAAAGATTAGCAACATTGCTGCAACAAGTTTACAAACTTAATTGTCAGACCTTGTATGTGCAATGAAGATGTTATTTCTACTCTCCCTCTCTACCCGACCTGAGTCTATAAAGAGAGAGCTTGGACTCTACTTTGTGGTAGGAAAGAAATCCCAGAAAGAGTAAGGCAGCCTAGAGAAAAGTCCCAGGATAATTAAGAGTCACTATCACCCATGATTGCAGCTGATTTGAGAGACCTGGAAGTGAATGGTTGAGTTTCTCTACCAAAATCATGACATACAAGATGCTTCTGATGGTTCTCCAGCCTCAGCTACCCTCACATTTTGAATGTTCCTCAATGCATCATGTTCTCTCTCAAATCACAGGATTTGCACAAACCTCAGATTTGGTGGTTTGGGATTTTCTTGTATTTGGGGTTTCTTGTTTGCTTGATTTTTGTTTTTGCACAAACCTCAGTTTAGAACAATCTTCACCTTTACCTGCCAGCCTTCTACTCATCCTTTTTGACATGTCTCCGTCATTGCCTCCTCCAGGAAGCCACGTTTCACAGCCTACATTTCTCACCACCACCTTGTATGCTCCTGGAGGGGCCTGTGCTTATCCTTAGCATTGCTCTTACCATACTTGATTATAATCAGCCTGTCTAGTTTACCTACAAGACTCTACATTATCAGAGGTCAGGGGCTATGTCTTATCATCTTTCTATTCCCAAAACCTAGCATAGAGCCAGGCACATATTATACACTAAACGGGTGAAGGAAAGAAGGAATGCTTACCCCTGACTCTACCTCAGAACTTCTGATATCTTCTAGCCTCTCAGTTTGGCAGTGTATACAAACCTCTCTGAATTACTGCACTTACCTTTTGCTTTGCTCCTGTTTACTACTCACTCCAGATTTGACTGAGAGGCTCTTGATCAACACAAGTGATGGGACCCTCTCCTCCCCTCTCAGTCAGGGGAAAACTGCCCTCCAGCCAAAGGAGGGAGATATAAACTGCCCTATTCTTGCTCCAATTCCTTCTAATATCGTGGCTAATACCAGGCACAGTTCCACCCAATCCCAGAGCAAACTGGATTATAGTTTAGCAGGTTATTAGTAGCTCCCTCTCCACCTAGTGTGCTTTGTTAAATGAGTCTGGTCAGACACTCATTGTCTGGTGCTTTGTTTTGCAATAGTTATCCTATCTCCCCTTTGCTGCCAATATGCCTGAATAATCCTTCTGCCCATATTTGCTTTTCCCAGGCTCTGCCATCAAGTTCAACTTCTCTTTTGTTTTCCTGCGCTTCAAATAAAATGATCTTCCCTCTTAACAAGCTGTGCTTGAAATCACATGTGTCCCAAAATTGCTGAAGCCATCTCACCCTATCTGTCCTCTTGGATTGCCCTCCAACTCTGCCCTTCGGTTTCCACACCTCCTTTGGAATTTGGTTCATGACAGCAAGTTCTGCTCTTGGACCAGGACCCATACTCTGCTTGGGTTTTTTTCCACCCAATGTTTGCCTTCTGTATTCCAAATTCAACTTTCAGAAACTTGTTCCCACTAAAAATAAGAATAATCAAACTGAAGGGTGACACATGACATTATACACTTCTATGATACTTAAACTACTCCTAAATGCTCCCTTAATGTAATATATATATACATATATATTTTTTGTTGTTGTTGTTGTTTGTTTGTTTGTTTTTTTGTTTGTTTTTGTAGGTCCCGCCAATAACATTGATAGACTAGCTGACCAACCATTTAGAAGGGCACTATAAATTGGACCAAAATTAAGAGTCTGAAATAGCTAGGGAGTTTTCTCCATAAACTTTCATGGGATCACACCGTGGCCATTGCGTTTCACGGCATATCCACTTTTATAAGCCTTTTTATGAGTACATAGAGGGTTAGCCACCACTGCTTTGGCTTGCCAGCTTGGACTGACTGCTGCTATTTTAACCACATTCCCCTTTAGAAAGAGCACAGCAAACAGTTCCAAATTCCTGAGGGAACCGTAACTGTTTATACTGAGAAAACTGAGTGACACATCGTTTGGAAATTTGTTACTATTTAAGCCACTATTGACTTTTTTTTTTTTCCCAGAGTGATCTCTTAAGGCCCGAAGAACCATACTTCCACCGTGACACTCAAAGATTGATCCAAGGAGCAGAAGACTGTCCTGGAGAAGAGCCTGGACAACTGGACGCCAGGAGCCAGCACACTCTCAAATTGCTTGTGCAGCCAACATTCCCCATCAGGCAAAGAATACCACTTTCTTAAACACTACTAGTGAAAATGACTACGGCCTGTGATGTCTGGGGCTAGAACAGACTAAGGACTTAGCTTAGCAACTTTAAGAACTGGAAGTCTTACTGATGGGTCACCTTTGGAGGAGGGGAAAGAACCCAATCTGTATGAAAAGTCATGCTCTAGAATAGAAAGGAATCAAGTAGTTATTTTCTGCCAACCTGTCTCTCACCACTTGTGTCTGGGATATGTGCTTACCTGAGCCATCCTGACCTTAAAGGGCTACCCATTTCCTAGTCTGATCATTTATTCAGGTCCACTCTGAACCCAGCAAAGACAGCTTTTCTTAGATAATATCAGATGAAGAATGTTCACTTGATATTCACCTCATGCTACTATTGGTTTTCCCTCCAGATTGGACTCTGCCCCACCCTGATCATCCAGCAATGATCCACGTCAGGAGGAAAAATCCTTCCAAACCAATATCCCTGAAGATGATGCTTCTTGGCAATTATCAAGAACTGTTATAACTCTGAGATTTTACCATGCTTTGCAAGCTGACAAGTGGTCTACCAGAGCTTCATGGATACTGGTAGAAGACACAAGACTTACAGGTCAGAGACAAAGAATCTTATTACTCATGGCATGGTCAACACCTTGAGTTTTATGCTCCGGCTGGTTCCTCTTACCCCACAAGTCTTGTGGGCGTTATTACACAGAGCAGCCTAGGTAGATGCTGTTCACACAATGATGGGTTTGCACCACAGCTGAGAAACTCTGAGCTTTGGAAACCCCAGTCTTTTATTATAAAAGATCAGGCTGCAAGAAAACCTGTCCAAAGTTGCTCCAGAGGGAGACATTATTTTTATTATACTAAACAGCCAAAAAACTGGCCCTGTGCTCCCAAAAAAGATACTGTCTCTGTCTTCTGTTCACTATCAAACATTTGAAAAGATCATCCAGAACAAAAGGCTATCAGCACCTCTGCTCACAAGGGGTAAAGAGACATGAGAAACCATTGGGAAATTGCCTCGTAACAGGAAGCTGAAAAGAATCAGTGAATAAATGAATGAATTACATAATTTGTGGACATCTTAGAACAGACAAAGTAATGAGTATTCAATATAAATAGTCCATCCATTTTCTACTTCTCTAAATAAACCCATAATAAAGGTTAATTCTGTTCACCAAGGAAGATTCTAATTTCTTTTTATTAATTTAAATGTATGTTGGTCTTTCAATTTGATAAATGCCCTCATTTGATAAATCCTGAAAAACTTAAAAAGTGATACTTTTTAACTTACCAAATACTATCTACTTCATGGAAACAATTTGTTTTAAATATCATTCTGTCATTCTACAGATAAGTTATTGTACATATCTCTTTTCTAAAAGTCTTTATCCCAAAGACTAAAAATACAAATGACACAGAATTGTGAGGTTGAAATCAGTCAAAATAAAGAAAGAATACAGGAAACTTGTAAAAAGACTGTGCTTCCAACTTCATAGTAGAGAGTTGATCACAGGCCTTGGAGGGAAGATATACATAGTTTTGAGTCACAGTTAGTTTACAAGTCCTCCCCACCTTTCATGGCTTCCTTCTTATATGTTCCTTGGAATGTCTTTTCTAGAATGGGGCCTTTTCTAAACAAATTAAGCCATTCCAATCAGAAATGGCATGAGCAATATTCAAGGAATTCCAAATATTATGATGACTAAACAGCATTTTGCACACTGTATTCTAGGGAACACAAGTGTCCTTTATGATGTTAATAAATATCCTGCCATCCTCAAAAATTCCTTGGTCAACTACATTTGGTAAGCTATACATTAAACTGGTTTCTCACTGGAGAATGTTTCAGAGCCTCTAGTTTTGCTAATGTAGTTCAAATTGAGCTCATGAGGTTCATCTATCATTGAACCACCAGTGAGTATAATAGATTACAGATATGGTATGAAACATCTCCTCACCATGTAAAACTGTTAACATCCGATGTTTTATATTTAAGAATGCTAGATGCTTTATGTTAGGGGACACTAGAGTTCCATAGAGCACAGGAAAACTCTGGACCACAATCCAGGCTAGATGTGGGACAGAACAGTGAAGGTATTGAGATTGAGATAGTTGGGTGTTAGTTTTGCAAAGGACCTTGAATTATGCTAAGATATTTGGACTTTATTATGCAGGCAGTGGGGAAATATCTTGTTAAAATTCTTTTTATCTAGTTGGTATGTTTAGGTGCAGTCATTTTAGTCAGAAACATATTAAAAGATCCAAGAAAGTTTCCATTGTGTGACGGATTCCTCCAGAGAAGAGGTCTACAGAAGAGAATCACCTCTGTAAACACCCAATTTCAAAGTGTAACAGCCTTCAAGTTTAAGAAAGTCTTCTTTATGTCTAATAATTCCTATGTAGTAGTTTAAATTAATTTTACTTTGTTTTTTTTAACTGTTCTGTATTCATTCTACTTCCTCTTCTCTGAATTCCATCTCTAGCACTTAATCTTGCAACAGCGACGAGCTAAAACACCATATCCATTTATGGGTTGTCCCAGTCTGAATAAACTTACTCTCTAAGCTTTTATCATTGAAGTTTATTTTCCAGGGCTTGATCATTGTCAGGACTATCTGGGATACTTTAACCAAGTTTTCTTTGTTCTGTCTTTCAAAGCGTATTTAATGAGCACCTACCCGATGCAAGGCATTGTAATAACTTCGGAGAGAAATAGGAGGATTTAAACATATTCTCCTTAAAACTGGTGTACCCTTTTGAATAGTTTGCTTTAAGATCAAATCAACTTAATTTCTTTAAAGCTTTTATTCATTTGTGTAGCTAGTGAGGACCAAGTATATAAAGAACTACTCAGTGCATCAGTCAGTGAATACTTATTGAGCTCCGACTGCATGCCAAGCATGATGGTAGGTGCTGGGGAAGCAGCAGTGAGCAAGACAGGCCTAGTTTCCGCCCTCATAGAGCTCATAAATGTAGCTGTGGCTGCAGACAACAAAACGGGTGTGAAATATTTATTAGTTATCTGCTCTAAACGCTTTCAAAAATGTTATTAGTTATAAAGGGGGATAAAACATATGACAAAGTGTTAACAACTAGTTACTCTAGGAGAAGAGCATATTGATACTCATTTTACTATTCTTTTGATCTTTCCATTGAATTGAAATTTTTCAAAATAACTTGGAGGAAATGTTAATATGAATAAATCAGTAAAAATTGAAACACTTGGGGTCTGATTTCTTCCATAATTTAATACTTTTCTTTGCTTAGTTGTAACATTTGGTTGCTTTCATATCAAAACTCCCAAGGCAGGAGCCAAATCATTACCATAAGAATAAAAGCAAAAACTTGGATTGCATTTTCCCTACCACAGACTGTCTTGCCACAAGTGAGCACACTGTGGCTCTTGAATTTGGGCAGCAATTTTGGTAAACACTCTATAAAATACGTCAGCATATTCAGTCTGTGGCTAAGTAGATAAGGAGAATTACAATGTCCAGATATGCTATTTGCTGTCCATTAGGCATTTCTTAAGCCATTGTCTAAGGCAAGCACATATGTTTTAATGATTATAATAATCTATAACAATTAACAAGCTCAATGTATTTGGTGTATTAGGCTAAGATACATAAAGTGAAACCTCTTCATTTTACTAGTGGCAGGGACAGGATTAACACGACCTGTAGTATATCCAAATAAAACAATGGGCGTGAAGAGAAACTATGGGTAGATTTAGGTGGCTTTTGATAATGTCTTCCCATGACTAACCAAATAGATATTATCATTATTTGCATTTGCATTTTCTCACCATTTCAAGTTGTCAGATACATCCTTGTCTCTGATGCACGATGTAGGTATATTTTCAGCAAGGAATGCATCTAGGAGGAAATCTAGAGCTTAAAAGTGGGGACCAGGGATTAAAAGGGAAAAGGGGTATGAGGGAATTTTATGATGGGAGTAAACATGAAACCAAAGACCTGCTACAGGTATTCTGAAAGAATAGGTTAATGGGTAAGTGACATTTTCCTCTATTCATTCATTTAAAAAACGCACTCCATGTCTGCCATGTCCGGACACTCCAGTGGAGATAAAAGAATATAACATAATCTCTATCTTAAAAAAACTAACCAGATTCCAGCTAAGTAATCAGACCAGCAAAAGAGAAATCGATGTGCATGGTGGAGATAAGAGAGGTGAGAGGTGCAGTGGAAACAACAACGTGGGCCCAGGACTCAAACCCAAATTAAGTCTCTGTCATTTATAAACTATTGCCTTGGCCACAGTACCTAACCTCTCTGAGCTTCGACTTCCTCATCTGTAAAGTGCAAATGATACCTACCTTGTCCTACAGTTGTAAGAATTAGGACTAGGATATGCAAAATATCGGGCATACACAAGAACTCAAAAATTATTACAAATACTTCCATAGAGGTATGTGTATAATGCTTAAGAAAAACAAATTTTGCTCCTTCTAAAATTTTACAACCTGAAAAATCCCAAAAGTTTTGCTATCAATCAGTGTCTTAAGGGAAAGAGAGATTATCAGTAGAATTTGATGAAGGGACTCTTTATAGGGATGAGGGAAGAGTTAAGGGGCCCAAATGGGACATGCTGAGTTCCCCAGGAGCCAGCAACAGAAGCGAGTCATTACCACCCCTAGGCCTGCCTGAGCCCAGTGACAGGAGGAGACTTAGAAAAGGATCATTCCCTCTACAGACACATTCCTAGTGCAGAGATGACAGCTCAGACCCTCTGAGTCCAACATCATCAAGGTATTACTCTCGCTCAATAATCAGCAGGCTGATTACAATTTCATTTTCCCATTTAGGTTGCCTGCATGAACAGAAGTGGCTAGCCAGTTAACATAACAGTTTACATTGCTCATTAAAAAAATAATGAGTTGGAAGTGAGTGTAAATAAATACTCAGACAATCAAATAATCTAAACAAGCACACTGTTCGAGATGTGGGTTTAACACAGCAGAATACTGTGGCA